CCGATCATGAGATTTCTCAAAATGATAATTTTAACGTAATTTTTATTTTACATTACATAATTTCAATTTTACTTATTTAACAACATTAAATAGGTAATTATTTCATTATTCGTAATTTGTATTCCTTTCTTCAATCTTTTTTGAAAAGACAAATCGAATAATTATAAATCTAAACGGTATTTATGCTGCTGTTGCATCTAATGTCAATTTAGATTTTTATTAGAGATCAAATTATAACCAGTGTTAAAAACGGAGTCCCTAATTTTATTTAAGATTACACCAGTTTAAATAATTATACTTCAATATTTATGCATAATGTGAAATATATTTTTAATAAAAATGTCTCGAACGAAATATTATTTTCCCTGAATTCTTCCTCAACTGGTCACTGGTTATAATTTATAACTTAAATATAATTTATAATTTATAACTTAAATATAATTTAAAATAGTTTAAATTTTACAAATCTTTCATTTCTTGATACATAAATAACGTAAATTTATATTAACAGTAATTATAAAAAATTGAGAAATGAATATTAATTACTATACAAATATTAATTATTATTTATATTAAACATTTATGTTGATTATTTTTTAATAGTTTAATTAGAATTAATGGAATTAATTGAAATGCGAGCTCGCCAGATTCTTCATCTTGTTATCATGCTATTCATCCATTCAGTACCATCTCTCATCAGTCTTCCTCTTTCATCCAAAATTGTTGATGCGACTTCGATCATTCGGCGCTGTTTCTCGACGGCATATCCATCATCATCGCTCATCAGATTCCATCCTTATTCGGATAAATCAACACTCTTTTCTGATGTCGGTTTTTGCAGGTACGCGCGACCTCTCCGGTCCCCGCACTGGCTCCCTTGGTCGTGACCCTGACCTCGACCTCGACCCTCGTACCCGCGCCTCCCAACCACCGCCCTTCACCGACCCTCTACTAGCCTTCGACGACGAGGACACCGTCTACGACAGCCGTGGACAACGCATACCGGCGCGCCGCAGGCTGGGCGATGACTTCGCAGACGAAGTGACAGCAACGACACGTCGGTTTCGCGCCCGAGTGGCAGCGATAGGTCTCGAGGACGACTTCGAGGCTATGAACGCCGCGGGCCAGGCCAGAAGAAACGCTACTGATCTCCTGGAGAATACGGTGACCGCCAGGAAGAGCGCCAAAACGGCGATCGAAGACGTCGAAAACAGCTTCAAAAGGCGCTCGAAGCTCTTCGACGAGATCGAACGCGTCGATGAGAGCAAGCCAGCGTTCGCCAGATGGTCGAAGCTGATCAACGAGGACGACGACTTAGCGCAGACCAGCGCCGCCGCCAGTCGGGCCATGCAGACGAAAGCGCGTCTCCACGATCTCGAGTCGGAGATGGAGGAACTCGCCGAGAGACAAGCCAAAAGAGAACGCAGGGCCGCGGCTCTCAGGGCGCTGGTCAACGAGAACGCCGCTGCGGCTGATGCCGACGTCGTTCAACAGTCGGCTCTCAGCAAGAAGGTGCGCATCGCCGAACGCGCAGAGAAGCACGTCAGCTTCTAGAGAATCTTGCGATCTACCTTAATTCTCACGACAGTGCTTTACAGCCATTAAGCATTGCGCACTGAAAATTTTGAGGAAGATTTCAAGAAGATTTCATCCATTATTAATTGTTTTCCTTGCACGAAAAGAATGGTTGTTTCAGTGATACTTCAGTGAAACCATTCTTTCTGTGTAGCAATTAGAAAAAAAAAAAAGATTATTAATCTTTGTCGGCCATCTATTGCAGGAAAAACAACTTTTAATCATTAAACATGTCAATTGTTATCTTGAAACATATTATTTAAATATGACTTTATTATTGGCTTAAATTTTGTGAATTTTCTTTATAAATAACTGAAGCCAATAAAATTATTAATATGATTAGATCGATATTGCAGTTTTAAATTACATTCTTTTAATGTTTTTAAAAATGACTGGAATAATAATTAGTAATAATTTATATTTATTGTAGTTTTTTAATTTCTTTTTGATTACAGTGTAACATAATGTTTGTAAATCGGTTTGCTGTAAGGCACTGTTCTATTTGAATACACGAATATATTAGAATATGTTTTCGCGATGTATATGCATTGTGACCGCCATTTTTTGGCGGTCGCGCATTCATATGGATATTATATCGTCATTGATCTATTCGCGAAACGAATATATGACGATTCCATTAACTTTAAATAGTGCTTTATTGACAGTGAATTGTCGATAAATTTTACTGGCTGTAAATAGTTAAATTTTATCGACAGAATCTAATATCGAAGTTCATGCTCATGATACTGCGCGTACATTTATTGCGCATAATTCTACAATATAATTATAATAATGTATCGACACTTTAATTATGCGAGACGTGTCTTTCGAAAATACGCTTGATTCTTCTTTTTCAGCACGATTTTACTTCTATTTATATTCAGTCTGTTTTATAAATTAATGACGGATGAAATTTGACAGATATACGAGTATGACTGGATTAAAACCTATTATATATTGCTTAAGATTTGACGTACTTTCGTACGATATTTCTCGCAGAATGTTGCGCTTCTCCGTTCTTTAGGTGTAATCCGAAGGAACTTAAATGTTAATCGTTCCTAATAAATACATTACATTTTAATATTTAAAATTATTCTTGCAAGACTTATTATATTTAAATTTTAAAATCATTTTTGTAAAACTTGTTATATATAATACTACCAGCGCGATATTATAAAGAGATGCGAAGTCGCAATTTAATTGTCGAGTTTGTCTCGAAACATCGTTTCTTTCAGAAAACTATTCTCCGAAATTATCATAAATGTATATTTCTTCTTTCTTTAATAAATCTTATTTAAAAACTCTTTTCTGAGAGCATGTCAGGTGACACATACACCACATGTTTCCCCAAATCTCCTTTTTTATTCATTATACACTTTTTATTTTATTGACATTTTATGTATCTTGATGTTTTTTTTCCTTCCATTTTCTGCATGCACAAGATTCCACTAGCTGTAGTGAAACTCTGAAGGTAAGAATCTAATTTTTATAAGATTCATAAAACTGACGAATATTTTTATATATATTCATCAGTATATATATTTTTATAAGACAATAGCAATTCTTTAGATTTAATTAAATGTATCTAATTTGTTGTCAAAAACAATTTTTATTAAAAATGGCTATATAATTCGAGCAATTTTGAATTGTTATAAATGCATTTTTACTTATTTTTATTATTTTGTATTGCACAAAAAAAATTGAATTAATATTAATATCTTATAATTAATAATAACTAACATGATTCCACTAATATTTTAGGCTCTCGTAACTTGTCGGGAAATCGTGATGATTTCTACGACGAGTTGGACTTTTTACTCGACGGACGTGGTCGACCCATTCAGGAGAATCCTTACGAAGACGATTTCGTGATTACTCATAGACGTTTCAAAGAACGTGCGGCAGCTGCGTTTGAAGAGGATATGGCGGAGTTGAGACGCAAGCGACGAGACATGCAGGTTAAATTAAACGAAAGAAAGAGTCAATAATTGCAGAATATTAAGAATCAAATCCAATTAAAAAAAAAGCTATTAATAGAATATCTTATAAATGATTAATTTATTATAATCTAAGTTATAATATCAAAATTATATAAATTACAAATGCACTTCATAATTTGTACATAATTCGCACGTAATTCAGCCGAATAAAATCTCCGGCTAAATCTATCAGCTGTTCTTACGAATGTTTTTGTCGTATCTGGCACTTGTTGCAGGATCGCATCTTCGATGTGATCGATCTGAACGCCGAGATAGAGAAGGCCAAGAGTACCCTGGAGGCTGCCGACATCGTATTCCAGCGACACGCGACAAAGTTCGACAACCAGGGCGACGACGAGCAAACGATGTCATTGTCGCAAAAATTCGACAGAACGCGCAAGATCGCAAATGTTGAGAAGCCCAAAACCTTTCTGTTAAAATTGCCGATCGACGAGCAGGAAACTGCTCAGCCCCCCGTCCCGGCAGGAAGACAATACAGGATTAACTCATTAATTGACACAAACGAGATAGGTGATCCACAGGAGGTTCTCGCGATGCAGCCGATGAAACGAAGATTTTTGAAGAGAAAGAAAAGCGTCTCGTTTTAAGGTTCGAAAAAGCTTATCTGTCTGGCCAATGCTACTACGGTGTGTGCAAAATCTATTAATATACTTCAAAGATTTTTAATTTAGAGAATTTTTTTCTTTCTAGAATATTAGATTACCTGTGTAATTAATGATTGAATTAAAATTTTGTCTCTTCAAATCTAAATTATTTGAAAATTTAAATAAAACGAAGAATGTACCTTTACTATCGATCACATTTCTTAGGATTAATTCCTGAAAATAATTCTTCATTTTTAATCGGTTTTTCATTCAAAAAGTGCTCATATTTTTTCATAGGACAAATCTACTTTAGATTAATAAAAAAATATCTTTAATATATTTTTTCTAATAAGTCTAGATTGTCTAGATCTAGAATATTCAGCTTTCATCAACGTTATCGCAAAGCCGCATCTAAAATTCCGAAAATATTTTTAATAATTAAGTTCTTATAACATTTTGCTTATAATTATTAATATATAATTGTTAATTTTGTTCGTTTACCTTTTTGATGATTATTCTTCTTTTATTTCTTGAAATATGCAGTGACATTCCTTGCAAGCAAATTATCACTTATGTATTTTAATAGAGAAATAGTTTACGCGTATTTATAATAAATATTCAGTATTAAATAATCAATCCTTTCCTTTTCCTCAAAACTTCTTTACAAATAAAAATTAAATTAAATTATTAATAAATGATTAAATATTGGTTAAAAAAGAAAACACATGTCATGAAAATATGCGATCCATTCGAAAAGTTTTTGAACTATTAAAATAATGTTTAAAAGTAAAGCTATATAATGCTAATCTTTAATGGTATGCCAAGTAAGTGTACAAACATATATCATTTCAGCTGCAATGATCAGTCGTTGCATTGCTGATTTTATCAATTCTACCAATCACATTTCAATTACAATATTATTTATCTCACTAGTTTATACAAAACACCTAACAAAAATGATCTATTTGCAAACAAAAAATACAATAGAGAGACAATTAGAAAGACATACAGTCAAAAAATAAATATTGATAAAGATCTTGAGAGATTGTGTATACGTGAACGGATATATGAAATTTCACTTGTCTTTGATAGTTGTCTTTTGACTGCTTAACAGCGGTCTGTGGATTCACAGAATCTTCTGGTATTTCAGGCTATAGTAAGCACGAGTATGATAACTGTAGTGTCTGCCTGTGAATGTCATATTAGTGATGTACTTCATGTCGGCCGATCGCTTGAAGCTCTTATCTGTGTTCTTTTGATCGTAAGTCCTTATAGTTCTTTCTGCCCATTCCTGAGCCCTGGGCGGCTCGCGGTATATACCTTTCTGCCTCGAATTAAGATAATCAATCACGTCGTCGTAATAGTTCTTCCTGTTAGAAAGAAAAGATCATTCCGAGATTGAGAAATAATTTCGAGATTACAATCTTCGTTCATTATCGTGAGTTCAATATTTTATAACGTAATTTCATAATTATAAATTTATAATGCTTTGTTATATATAAACATATGTATGGAAAATTTGTATTAAATTTAACACACGTGTCTCAAACGAGCCACTCAAATTTATGTGTTTATTTCATACAAAATGAATATATTAGAAGATAAAGATTATTTAAGAAGTTAAAACACAAACAAAAGTAATACTGACACAGTTTATAAACAAAGCATAGAAGCATATTTTTTCCGAGATTGAAAAAATTAACCTTTTATATGTTCAATTAATATATATTTTATCCAATCATTTAAAAATTTACGTTTTAAAACACATTATTTTTATGTCATTCACCTATTTAGACAATCTTCTGCTCTCAAGATATTTAAAATAAAAAAATTATTTAAACGCTAAAGCTTTAAGCTATTTTGGTAAACAAAAAAATTTCTTCCACGAATAATTGCACACTATTTTTTAACGATCTGATTAATTTTATATTAACTTCTATATTTTTTATACGCTGTAAATTTAATTTTAATCATGCAATTAAAAAGTCTTAGATACTTATGTATCTTCGTATCTTACCTATAATCGTAAAGATACGCGTAATTAAGAAACAGTGGTCGAACCCAGTGGTGATTGTAATGTGGCGGCTCAAGCTTTAACAATTTCAAGACAGGTTTGTCGGTAGCAGCTGCCTCAGCGGGCGCACCTTCCGCCGCACCCTCGGCACTCGCTTCCGGAGCGGGTTCCTCGATGTCCCACGGTGCAGGTTCGTCCGTCCACATTGTAATCTCGTTATATTATATATAATATATATTCACTTCGATAATGAACCTGCAAACAATTACGTGTTGCGCCACTATTAATTGTAAATATTAAATTACGGATCCAATTTATATCAATTCGTTGAGTTAAAAATAACTATTGGTTATTTTTAATTTTTATGTGTAATAAAATATATTATTTTAATACAAAATAATGATTAAAAGAATAGTCATCTAATCGACCTATTTTTATGCAAGTTGAATTGCTTACAATTTAGTTTCAAAGTAAATTAACATATACATTTAGTAAATAATAACTTACATTTGAATCAAATTTAATACATTTCGTCAGTTAAAGTATCTAACTTTATTGTTTTACAATTAATTAAAAAACAATATATTGAGTAGAAACAGAGCTGTAGGAATGATTAAAAAAAATGACTTAATTTGAATAAAATTTGACATTACAAATTTAAATTGGCTTGATAAGTAATTAAAAAGTATTTCTTCATTTTCCTTTATCTGTTTTCTTTTTAATTTATAACATCAATTTATTTTTCGCAACGTTTCTTACTTTCTTAAACCACGAGAGCCTAATCAAATATTAATTTAATTTTCGATAGGATTTATTTAGCCGATTGAATATATACATCGTGTGAAGAAACGGGTCATTACAAGACACAACCAACCATTTGGCTGAGGTATTTGTGGCGAAACGAAATGCCATACCAATCTTCAAACTGTGCTCAAACGTCTTGATGGCTTATATAAAATACCCATTCAATTATACTGTGCATCAAGAAATAGGACAGTGTGAAATAATCACGATTTGTAAAGCAATATTTATAACATCGTTTTTATTGCATCTTAATGGGATTATAATTTCTTTTAGCAGATATAAAAGATTATAAACGACCAACACTATAAATTTGTGATGTAAAATTATACACGATTTTTTGTCATTTTTAATCATTCTAGGAAATCACTGCTCCTATTTAATATATTATTAATTTAACTAAGATAATAAAATTAAATAATTTAACTCACACAAGAGATATACCTGTTAAATTGACTTATTAAAGTTTGATCACCCCTATTATTTATAAAATCCATACATCAAATGGGCATTGTTTTAAAACTAAACAATTCAACACTAGGAATGGATTGATGAGACACGGTTGTGGCTTTTTTAATCACATGATTTGTTAAAATAATACATTTTGACACATGGAAGTAGAAACTAACAAAACGTTTAACTCAAAGAATTAGTTTAACTGTGAATATTTAACAATGAATGACGTAAAGTCGAAAATCTCGTGTTCAAATCAGACAATCTGTAAAAAAATCTAAAGATGCCGATATTGCTAATTTCACTATACAGGTGATTTTATAAAAGCACGAAAGGAAATCTCTCGACTTCACTGTGAAAACTATTGTTCATTGTTCTCCGATGGTGGAGCAGCTTCCAAGGGCAGTACCTTCTTCGGTTTCACACTCGCGCGTACTGCAAAAAAAAATGCCCTGCCCTTCTACACGCCGCGGGCTCGTCTCGTCACTCCTCGTGGACCCTGTCTTGTTTCGCTTTTATTTTAGCAACATCTTCTGCACCCCGCTCGTCCCTTCGAAGGTGCGCTCTTGCTGCGACGAGGAGGGGATGATTTGGCACGCGATCGGCGACGATTAATTAGCGTTGCAACAATTTCTTTCTCTATCTCTCTCTTTCTTAACTCGTGTATATATATACATACACATGCGGCGATTAGCTCACAATATAATCGCGCGCCTCAACACTTGTCCTCGCGCCACTTCATGAACACGCTTATTGACATTGAAAAGCAAAGATGACACCTTTAGCCAAGGAAATGAGAACGCTCATATCGGAATCGAGTTTACGATCAAGTAAAATTAAAGTTATAAATTAAGCATATATTTTATATGAAATAAAATTATAATGTCATAGAAGGTATCCTGATTGCTTTAATTAATTAATTAATTGTCTGTCAAGCTTGTAAGCTACATTTCGTCGCTCTTGTTCAATTGGTCGATTTTATGTAACGTCATGAAACCTTGAATGTACGCAACGAGAGTTTATTGTTCAACACGTGATTAATTATTGCTATTTATAAGCGAATTACTGGTCCAATTAAAGATCTATGCATGAAATGACACGTTATAATTATTCGGCAACAACATTGACACCGTACCCTGGTTTACTTACTATAAATCATGCGAATTGTAACAGAATGAAACAATTAGATGCGTGCGAACATGAGATGTACTTATATACGATTCATGTTTAATTCGTCATGTAAAATTTTTCTGACAGTTTCTTTATCGGCGTTTACAGTCTCAGCAATCATCCGAATGCTCATACGATCTCCGCGTACAATTTAATTGATTTTGGTCACTGTTTGCGGAGTTGAAACAGAGACAGGTCGACCTGGACGTTGGTCATCTTCGGTGCTCTCTCGGCCTTCAGAAAACCGTTTATACCATTTGAAAACACGCGCACGAGATAGAGAATTCTCACCATAGGCCTCTTTCAACAACTTATAGCACTCAGTCGGAGTTTTTTTTAATTTAACGAGTAATTTCACATTGATCCGTTGCTCGTGTTTTTCGTCACACATTGTTATCGGCACGAGAAAAAAACAAGTTCGTTTCTAACTTCTATAGAAAAAATACTACTACTGCGACAAAAACGTGTTTTCGTACTGGAATAGTAGACACTTCCAGCTATCCAACGCTGCATTCGTTTTCCACCCACCCCTCTAGGACGCCTTCTGCGCGCGCAGTCTCGTTATTTAATAGCCAGACCTCGTATTTGCGACAATATAGTGCCTGGATAAATTTAATATTTTATATGAAAATGTGTAGATACAAATTTAAGGAAATTTCTTATAAAATTATTTATTTTATTACAATTATCCTAAACATATAATTATAAATAAAAGATAAAATTTTTAAATGTTATATTTTTAGACATTTATTGTGACGTGTTTGAGGAATTTATTAAACATAAAATCGTCAAGTTAAATAAAGAATTATTTAAATAATTATTTAAATGATAAATCATTATTCAATTATTTCTTAATTACATTGTAATTTAAGAATAACGAATATATTTTATTCGATTATATGCACAATATTTGTGATAAAGAGTAGGAAGAATTGAAATAGAATATGTCTTCGACAGTTTCGAAATATCGTCAAAGTTATCCGAAGAATATAAGTCATCAAGAGGTAACAAGCAGTGATGTTATTAGAGTCCGGAACACCAGCGATTTTTCCCTTCCACTCGTTCAGTTCTTCTTGACTTCATCTGTCTTTCTCGTTTTTATTTAAAGCGAGAAGCGAGTAAAGGAGGAAAATTGCCGATATCTCAGTCAGAAATGATAATGGAATCGACATCGAATCGATGTCTCGATGTTGATTCGATATCGAAAGCGTTAAATCGATGTCGATCGACGTCGAATTGATTGGCATTTGATTGGCATATTCCATTAGATCTAAAAATGTAGATCAAAGGTCGAAGAGCTCATTGAGCTCTCAGTAAGCGGTCGTGCTTTTGGATGCACCCATTGGATATTGCTCATTGCTTATCATTCATCACGTCCAGTGTGCAGTAGACAATACGTGGCGTACGAGCTCTTCTGGAAATGCAATACGTTGATTGGATATCATGCGTCCCGTGTCGCCGTATTGTGTTATACCATTTATATCGTGCGAATATCTAACTACTACGCATTCGAAGTTCAGTAGTTTACATTCGCATTGTTCGCAGATTTTTTTCAAACCTGAATACTGGGTGACGGGCATGTGTTTTATGATTGGTTATGTTATGATGAGTATGATAGAATAGGCTAGAATAGGCATGCGATACACGTGATTGCAACTCAACGTTGTAATTAACGATAATTATAAACTGACAGTCACGAATAAGATATATGTTGAATTATATATTCTGAATTAGCGTTCTTAATGATTGTTAATCGCAATGCTGTCAGTAACGATACTCCAGCGGGTCCTGTCTGCTAAAACGGCGCCCTGCTTGAGTCGTTTGTTATTCTTGAGACAAGTGAACAACTACTCTGACTCCGCTGCCACGAAAAATGACAGTAGCAATACATCGAATATCGGCGAATCACAAAATGAACGTGTCACGAGCGATGTCGAATCTTCCTTGGGTGAGGAGAACGTTTCTCGCCTTCTGAAGGAAGCTGCTACTTACAGCGATGCCAAGGATACAAATTGGGCAACGAGCCCTTATCCGGCCGATGCTCCTACCTCAGTTGAGGAAGAAATTGTCAAGCCGAAGATTGATCCATTGGACACTTGCATTGTGCTCTTTCCAGGACAGGGTACCATAAAAGTCGGCAAGGTTCAGAAATACTTGCGCTTTCCACAGGCGAGAGAATTGTTCGAGATAGCCAATGAGATTCTGGGATACAATCTACTAGAACTCTGCCTAAAAGGTCCACAGGAGAAACTGAATGAGACTTGCTTTAATCAGCCGGCCACAGTGGTGAGTTCACTGGCTGCACTAGAACAACTCCGTGAGGAAAGGCCCAAGATATTCGAAACATGTAAAGCAGCCGTGGGCTATAGTGTAGGGGAACTGACCGCTCTGATCTTCTCAGGCGCTTTATCCTTCGAGAATGGCATCAGATTGGTCTCTGTGAGAGGCGCTGCAATGCAATATGCTTCTAACAAATGTCCTCAAGGAATGCTATCAGTCCACTGTTCTCCACAAGCTTCATTATCACAGGCGTGCAAGGATGCCGAGAAGTGGGCACAAGATTGCGGTGTAGATACACCAGTTTGTCAGTAAGAATTATTTCAACTATTTCTGTACTAAGCTTTGTCTAAACCAAGAAATTTTCTTATCGACATTCTAGATAACAAAACTAGCAAACAAATGTGGGTAACAATTTTATTGATTTGTTGCATATGCCAAAAACTTTGAGACACTCTGTGTCTCTTATGGGAAAGCACCAACTGTCATTTGATATTATCTACATTTTTAATTTCAATATATGTCGACAATTATGTATTCAATAAAATGTGTCGTACAAATATATTCCATAATTTCCTGTATTTAAAATTGAATTTTGTTGAATACATTGTCGGTTTCTAATAATGTTCTATTTGGTCTGGACAAGGTCTTATATGCTCCTATTATATTACATATATTGTAATTAAATTTAATTATTAATTTTTTTAATTTGAAGTAATTTATATAATAAACATATATATATATATATATATAAAAGCATGGTGTTATATTAGATATTATGAAAAGAATGATTGTAGGGTGGCAGTATATTTGTATACTCAATCGAAGATCTTGGCTGGAAATACTCAGGCTCTTGAGTACATAGAAAAGAACGCGAAGAAGTATGGACTTTTCAAGTTAACCAGGCTGCCGGTATCAGGCGCATTCCATACAAGATTGATGGAACCAGCGCTCAAGTCCTTCAGCAAGATGCTCCACACGATAGAATTTGACGATTTCAGATGTCATGTCTATTCCAATTACAAGGCGCATACATATGGCAATACGGCATTAATTAAGAAATACTTGCCAAAACAAATTATATCGTCTGTGAAGTGGGAGCAGTGCATGCAGCTGCTGTACAACAGACCTCCGGGAACTGCCTTCCCGCGAACTTTCGATGTAGGATCAGGAGGAAGAATGTCAACGATCTTGAAGTTAATTAATTCAAAGGCGCATGAACACTGTATACCCATCTAAGCACTTTTATATATCCTGATAATACCAAAAGGAAGTCTGAACATTTGACATTATTTTGTACATACTTGTTGATTAGCTTTATTATTCCAATTGTGACATGAGAAAATAAAGAGGATCAAAGTTATATTAGATACGAAAAATGTATATTGTAATGTATATGTATATGATCTGCGTCTATTGGCACATCCACTGAATTTGTTTTCAACTTTTTCGTGAAAGTATTAGTACTTGCCGTTTCGCGCTTGATCATATAACGGTTTAGTGGCTTTCTTTTTATTTCCCGCGAACCTTTCTTATCAATTGACATACGCGCCATTGTTTAAATGAATTGAATATTGGAAGATATTCAATTCATTGCAAAGCATACTGCGATAGATATCAACTGATTATAGACGTTACAACTTCAAATCGATTCGATCTGAAGAAGATCGCTAGAAAATAATCGATAAATATGGAATAATAAGTAACAGACAGTTCTTCTCAAAAAAATCGATGCTAAGGAAAAGAATTATATAG